CTAAAGTACGAGTCTTTGGCGGCGTTTTTATAAAAACGCCACTAAAGTACGTGCATTTAGCGGCGTTTGTATAGAAACGCCACTAAAGTACTAGAATTTAGCGGCGTTTGTGCTTAAAATGCCACTAAAGTATAGTATTTAGCGGCGTTTATACAAAAACGCCACTAAAGTACGAGCATTTAGCGGCGTTTGTGCTTAAAACGTCACTATAATACATTATTTAGCGGCGTTTATATAGAAACGCCACTAAAGTACGAGCATTTAGCGGCGTTTGTGCTTAAAACGCCACTATTGTACATTATTTAGCGGCGTTTATACGAAAACGCCACTAAAGTACAGTAGGTAGCGGCGTTTATATACAAACGCCACTAAAACACAAGTATTTACCGGCGTTTGTTCAAAAAACGCCGCTAAAAGTGCCGCTAAAAACCCATTTTGCTGTAGTGGCAAGCTCCTTCTTTAGTTGTGCCACCCTAGATTGTATCTCATCCTTAGAGGCTGACTCAGCTATGAGTTGAGTTGAATCCTTGGTGATGATCACTTTTCTAGCAACGCCAAGCTGCTCCACAGAGGTATTCTCAATGCGCAAACCCAAATCAGTAGCTTGGTATTCAGCACCTACAGTTTACATAATCAATCAAACATTATAAAACATGGACTAAAGTTCCCATCTTTTTTATAAAAAAAAAATAACATGGCAGCTAACATACCAGTCATAATGGCAATATCTTGAAGGATAGCTTTTCTCCTTTCACCAAAACCAGGAGCTTTAATGGCTGCAACATTGAGTATACCCCGCAAATTGTTCACCACAAGTGTGGCCAGAGCCTCTCCAGTGACATCTTCAGCAATTATAAGCAAAGGAGATCTTAATTGAGTGGTTTTCTCCAACAGGGGAATTATGTCCTTTATAGCTGAAATCTTCTGATCAGTTACCAACACTCTTGCATTCTCAAATTCACAAATCAATTTCTCAGGATTTGTTACAAATTGTGGGGAGATGTAACCTCTGTCAATCTGCAAGTAGTAGGAAAAAGAAACCAAGACAACTCGAATAAAAATCAGATTTCAACTGCCACTAAGATTTCCAGGTTACTTCTATAGTAAGTGATAAAGAATAATACCGATGGGTTAAATATCGGCAACAAGGCATACCTCCATTCCTTCCTCAACATCAACTGTGGTCTCAAATGAGGAAGATGACTCAATGGACAAAGCACCATCAGGCCCAACTTTGTCAATTGCATCAGCAACCATTGTTCCGATAAGGTCATCATTTCCGGAAGATACGGACGCCACGGCTGAAAATAAGAAGCATAAGTACCCACATAAAGATAAATTGGGGGTTGATCGCTAGTGGCAAATAGTTTTGGTGCGCAGAAACGAATTATATTTATGCAGAATACCTTTGATATCATCATGATCTTTAACAGGCCTGGCCTTCTTTTTCCAGCTCTCCTACCAACCCTTGAACTGTTTTATCAATACCCTTCTTTACCGATACAGGATTTGCACCAGAGGTAACACTGAGAAGTCCTAGTTTTATTATTTCACGTGCAAGTACAGATGCTGTAGTTGTCCCGTCACCAGAAGTCATTAGTTTTACTAGCAACCTTCATCCTACAGCCAAAGAATAAACTAAAGATGTCAATTCCAATGATCATGTCAACGTGAGATCGTAGACATATTCAACATCAGAAGATTAATAGTAAAAGGATTGTGTGACCTCTCTGATAAGAGCTGCACCAGCATTTTCCATAGCATTAGGAAGCTCAATTGCTCGGGCTATAGTCACTCCATCATTAACTACTTTTGGACTTCCATATTCATCCAAGACAACATTCCTCCCTTTAGAATAGCCAACCAGTATATAGTTAATGCAATTGACACCAAAAAACAAGCATTTAAAGTCGATACAAAAACAGCCTGCAATATCTAAATTCTAAGTTGGAGAATATCGCAATTAGTTAAGGACATATACATACATACACCAGACGATTATGAGTCACAACCAAATCCTCTATAACATGCAAAACACGAATAACATAAACAGTAAACTTGAGAAAATATTTTAAACATTAGAACATAAATGAATACAATCTTTCATGGAAAAAACGAATAATTTTAATTTGTTGAGCGATAAATGCTTCTAGATCGTTCTTCCATTTCTGATTGGTCACCCAACGCTACATATTTATCAGTCACCATGCTATTATTTTTCTCTTCTTTTATTATCATATTATGTTTTTATCTAAATGATCATCAACGTTACATGTTTCCCTATTTTAATGAAAAAGCTAATATAATTCAGTATAATAATAGTTTTCATCTCAAAATCTATATATTTTATCAATTCAATTTTATTTATTTTTTTGAATAGTAGAGAGAGGGTAAACGTCCAGACACTGACTTCTCAAACGAGAGTAGGGGGACCATGAATATCCCGATGAAGAATGTCAAGAAGAGGTATCGAAAGAGAATAAAAAATAAACACAGAGCCATCACTAGGGGCAGGCTGCTTGGCAATGTAGTCTGTCGCATTATTCGTTTCACGGTAAATCTTCTTGAACTTGATAAACCAAGGCCGGTCCATGAGCTGAGCAATGGATCTCACCAACGCAAAAGGGCTGTCCACCAGCGGTGGGGAGAGTAGTTGAATAGCTGCAATACTATCCGTTCGAACAATGATTTTCTCATAGCCATGCTGCCATGCAATTTGGAGGCCATCGACGATGCCCCAAAGTTCAGCTTAATATGACCTAGGAATCTGCAGAAAGCCGCTAAACAGTCGCCCCTAGAGTTGCAAATCAGACCACCAATTGAACCCAGATTGGTGGAAGGAGATAGCGCACCGTCAGTGTTGAGACAAATCCATCCATCGTCCGGCATAGACCAACTAATCTAAGTAAACAAAGGGGCAGTAGGCTTAGGAGATGTGGTAATAGAATCTCCATAGAATTTACCCCATGAAATTCCAGCTTGAAAACAGCTCTTTATGTCAACATTTAGATGTTGAAAGATTCGATTATCTCTACCTTTCCACAGCTGCCACAAAATAAAAGAAAATAAGATATCCCATTCCCCATTAATGATGGAACAATGGGTATGGAGTCGAAGATTCTGCATCAACCATTCCTCGAGCTGAAGATTGAAGAAAGCAGGAAGGTTGTAACTAGCATTTACACTGCACCAGTGCTGGTGCGTCTAAGGACAATCACGGAGCAAATGGAGGAGAGATTCCGTCGCACAATTACAAGCCGAACAAGAGGAATCGGAGGCGAAACGTCTGGCACAGCGAATCTGGTTTGTTAGTAGTTTATCCTGCATAGCCAACCAAAGGAATCCGCAAAGTCTTTCTGGAACCTTGAGCTTCCAGGTTAAGGTCCACTGAACATCCTTAGCGTTCCAGTTTGCCTGATCCAGAATAGTGTACGCACTTTTAACTGAAAAACGCCGCTGGGGATCTTCTCGCCAGTACACACATTCTGGACCCAGTGAGGCAGCCGACGGCTGAATGCTTTGAATGAACGAAATCGCTGTTGGAACTAGCCAAGTAGGACACCTTCAATATACTGCCAATTCCAAGTTCCATTGGGGTTTAGCAGATCGCAGACAAGAAGATCATCATCAATAAGGGAATAGGATGCCGCATTGTCAAACAAGACACCAAACTGAGGAACCCACAAATCGTGCCAGAAGCGAATAGACTCTAGAGGGAAGAGCAACCAGCTCTAACGATGGATTGGAAACATAGAGCCATCATCCTGTACTTCTCTCGAAGGAGCCAGATCAAAAGCGACGTTGGGGAATGGACAAGGCCGTGACAAATCTTAAATATTAAAGCAAAATTATGGACCCTCATTTTCCTAATGCCAAGTCCGCCATGAAGAACCAACCGACTGGCATAAGGAATTCCAGTTAACAACAGACATACGCTTAGAGGAAGTGGTAGATCCGCATACGAATCGGCGTACCATGACTTCAATTTTGTCACACAGAGAAACTGGAAGGACACAAGACTGCATGATGAAGGTAGGACGGAAATGAAGTCTAATAATCTCAATATGAAACAACACCAATTATATACCTTTCAATAGATGCAACAGAAAGAGAAAGTGGTTTGTTATAATCGATGCTTGTGGTGAATGGGATGAGATGACTATACTGCTTCTTAAACGGATCACAACTTTATTTTTTGGGCTAAATTGTATTATGACCGGTGGACGGAAATGAAGTCTTCTTTAGGCCCAAAAGAAGCTTACGAACGCACAATGCTTCGACGGGAATGTTGTGTGGGGTTGTAACGCAAATTATATGGCATGTCATGATTTAATGTTAAAAGATATATGCATTCCTTATCGTTTCGATCAAGTTCTCTTCAGGTTGACACAAACAAACAATATGAATTGAAAACGATCATGTTGATGATTTTGTTCTACTATTTGTATAGGTCACCATGCTTCAGAAGATGCTAAATCAATAAGAAAATATGCATGAGATTCAGACCCTACTGCAGCATCAAAAGTTTGGCTCAACAGGTACAATGACTGTATCACGCGATGTATATTATGGAAAAGAATTTACTTCTCCTTTTGTATTATTCTCTTTTGCTTGATTTGTTCTTAAAAGCCCACGCAAAAACCCAGAGCTTATATGAGTTAACAACTAAGCAAATGTAATGACTGAGGATAGTATCTTCATTTTTATTTAAACCCGACTCATTTTATATCTACCGTTTGATTTTACCATTGCGGGGATATCTCCAATCTGGTGTGCCTAATACCCCATAAAAGTTGCACACTAATGAACAAGCTACTTTCCAAATTAGTTTCCAGTATCTGTTGGCTGGCGATGCAAACAAATTGTTTTCCAATTTTCCTTGATTAGGCATGAAAGAAAAAACGATATTACAGAATAGAAAATGAACAAACAGCTGAAATTGTTAGAGGAAAAAAATCACTTTACACTATACTTTTCAAAGATCGACTTAATCTCTCAGGGTGTATTACAGCAATACGCCAACAATTTTATAATTGTCGTCTTCATGATGTCGGCCATAGTAATTTTCATAAAATAGACGATGAGATTTCAACTGATATGCTGATTGAGCAAAAGAATAAAATCTGTTTCTTTCCACATCTGTCAAAATCAAGCGTGAGTACTGAAAGAACTCAAGGATGACCAGGCTGCCATATTTCCAACTCATCTAGCTGCCAAGGAGACCGAAATACCGGTCGGAAGTTTTACATTATCCGACCAAATCCTCGACTCAAGATAAAGTTTGGATATCTTCCCTGCCACGCGTCCCATATCAGGCCGTTGATCAGGATCCACGTGTACGCAATCCAACGCCAGACGTATCAGCTTCTCCGCCACCTCAACTGGAAACGAGTCATTCAACCTCCTATCAACCCACTTCCTCAACCCTCCCCTTCCCTCCGCCGCGGCTGCCGTCGCAGTATCCACCAATGACGTCCTTAGAAAATCACCGGTCCTTTTATCATGTCGATATTTCAACGGCTCCTTCCCGGATAACAGTTCCAAAATCACCACACCGAAGGCGTAAACATCTGATTTTTGTGTCATGATGCCGCTGGATCTGAATTCTGGCGACATGTAATCTCTCAGCGCTTCGAATTTCCTGCCCGTACTGTCGGATCTATTCAATTCCCTAAAACTCACATTACCTTCTTCAATTTCTGTTTCTAGTCTCGAAGAGCCGGTTTCTAGTGTTTCCTTGTCCGTTTCACCACAAAGCTGTGCCGTTCCAAAATGGCAAATCTTGGCTTTGAAAGAAGGCTCTGTAACAATAATGCTACTGCTTTTTATATGATTATGAACGATGCTGATTTTTAATCCGGTGCTATTGTGAACATAATCGAGACCGTGAGCGAGATCCGTAGCGACTTGAATTCGAGAAATCCACGTCGAGAGAACGGTAAAGCTCGGATTCCTAGGGTTTCTCAAGCACTCAACGAGATTTGATCCTTCGATGAACTCATAAACGAGGTAAATATAGTCGCCGGATATGGAAGCGCCGAGGAGTTTGATTATACTCATGTGATTGCTTCTACAGATGATGGATAATCGCTCTTTGAGTTGAGACTTCTGGATTTTGCGGCGAAACTTGCGTTGGAAAACGACAGTATCACGGCCACGGAGATTGCAGCGCCAGCAAGCGGCGGTAGAGGATGAATTGGATGAGAAACGCTTGGCTAAGAAGTTGTTGGTGGCAGCTCGGATTTCGGTTATGTCGTAGATGTGAGGATTTTCGGAGAGGGATTCGCGGAAGCTTGAAAGTGAACTTGGGCTTGAAATTGAAGTCTCCCACGACGTCTCTTTTGTGTAAGATGAAGCGGATGTGTAAGATACGGTAGTAGGACTAGATTGCGAATCGGAGGGAGACGAACTGAGGTGATTGGACGCAGTTCGAGGGGACCGACTCCAGCGAGTCCGTTGAGTCCGGGACGAGGTAGGTTCCGACGCGTTGGCCCCCATTTGGTTTTGCGCTGGGAAAGAGGAGAGGAGGGTGGAATTGAAAAGTCAACGAAACATAGGGTGAGTTTGGGGGCTAATTACTGGAAATTTGGCATAATGGATTGTATTATAGATGATGGGCTAGAGACGAGGGGGAGTGCGAATGGTGCTGCTGCTAACCTCCACATGTGAAAGAATAGCTCCTTGGATTCTCCTCAATCCTCCCCTCCCCCATTGGAGGGGAAGTCACGGCTTGTCGGTAAAATTAATGGGCCGTTAAAAAATATTAAAAAAACTAGTATGACATTCAACTCAAAACCTTTGATATTGATAGTTATTATTCTTTCATTTTCTTTCTAAGAAAATATTATTCAATGTTTATAGCAATTCACTAGAAAAAGTCAATTAATACCGTGGGATATCATTTTAGTATTAATTAATTTTTACTTAATATAAAAAAAGTAGTTTGAAGAAAATTTTCGCGATTTTAATTGTCGGTTTTAGCAAGAATATTGGCATCTATGAAGGTCTCCTTGTTGCTTTGAATTTTGCCATTGATCGAATCCTAGTGGAGCTGGACAGCTCCCGACCAGTTAAAATGATGGTTAAAGATGACCCCAAACGCAATCCGCTCTCCCTAGTGCAATCGTCCATGGGAGATTCGTTTCTAGTGGTTCTCAAGAAATGATAATTAAGTGGCCGACCGAATAGATAACCTAACCTCGGATCACCATTACAACCTGGTGTATTTCAACTCCCCCTGTGGACATGGTTAATCTTCTCTTCTTGTTTGCAGCCTCAATTCACTGGCTCGATGATTTTTAGTCTTAGCCTCTCGCCTTAATCGCTTCTCAATTAAAAAAAATGTTTAACAACTATCTTAATTATACATACTTCTTATTTTAAGTGTTTTAGATATCTTTTTGTTACTATTTTAAGATTTAATAGTCTACGTCCTTAATATATCATTTAATAAATACATAATTTGTGATTTGGGTTTTTTCCCCTAAAAATATAATCCTTAATTTTTTGTAAAAAGAATTCTTAAAATTTTTATTCCCTAGATTGTCAGATTAATTTATCATCATTTATTAACATGTACCGTCGAATCAATCACTAGTCACTACTAATTATCTCTTTCACCGATAGACTCTCGTTGCTTGATCGTTCTCTTGTCGTCGCATAAAATGCCTAAATTCCTAAATACCTTTAAACCGTGTTTCGTTGTTCACCAACTACATTCACTTAATTATCGTTCATTGATTTATCGTTTTTAAAGAAACTTATACTGCTGTCTGAACCGAATCAATGAATCAAATCATCTAGACATATTACAGTTTATTAGTTGATCATATTCCCATATGTAATGGAGTGATGGGAGGTAAGATAGTAGGCTGTCCCCAACGTCAGTTTGAGAGCAGCTTCCATGGAAGATCTCCGACAATCAGAATTATGAATTGCCCACAGTGGGACTCGATCCCACGACCACAAGATTAAGAGCCTTGCGCTCTACCAATTGAGGTAATTAATGCAACAAGAAGTGGGAATTGAACCAATATGATTTCGATGATAGAAAGTGTGGACGTTGATTATCAACTCAGTAGAAGCAAATAGACTTTGAAAATTGAGGAATTAGAGGTTTAAGACTTTTATAATTTTTTGTTTATTTTAAGAACTTGATATATTAGGGATTAAAGTTTTTTTAAATAAAGGAAATTAAAAATTATACATGTATTTATTAGATAATGAGTTTTTAACAAATATTATTGATTTAATATTAAAACAATAGTACAATGAGATATTAAACACACCATTGGGAAAATAAATTAATTACCTAAAATAAATATGTATATATATTTAGAGATAGGCATGAGACCCGAACTCGACGGGTTTCGACTTGATCGGGTCGAGGTTTTTTTAATTTTGGTCGGGTTGGGTTTTTTAAAGGTGATGTTCGGGTCTGATCGGATTCAGGTTTAGGGTAAAAATACCTGACCCAACCTGACCCAAAAAAATATAATTTTACATTATATATTTAGGACTAATTACAATAATATCTCTCTATATATATTATTTTTTTCCAATTAAATCATTAATTTTATTGAGTAAAAATAACATTTTTTATTGTTTCAGGTTTAGGGATGGCAACGGGCCGGGTATTGGTCCCCCTGTCCCCGTCCCCGTTTAAAAAACCGGTATCCGTCCCCGTTTAAAAAACCGTGGGGATTTAAACGGGGATCCCCGTCGGGTAATCGGAGAAAACCGCGGGGAAACGGGTATCCCCGTTTAGCATAAACGGTTATTTAAACGGGTATTGGGCCGAGTATTGGGTCGGGTATTGGGTCGGTATTGGGCTGGGAATCGGGCCGGGTATATATATATTTAAATTAAATATATATTTTTTATTTAAATTAAATTTATTAATATTATATATATATATATATATATATATATATATAAATAATTATTTTTAATATTTATCGGGTCGGGTATCGGGGTGGGTAATCGGGTAATCGGGGCGGGGATTACCAAACCCGTCCCCGTCCCCGTCCCCGTTTAAAATAAATGGGTTTTCCCCGTCCCCGTCCCCGTTTATCATCCCCGAACCCGACCCGTTTAATTCGGTTTTCGGTTTTCCCCGTCGGGTTCGGGTTTTTTTGCCATCCCTATTCAGGTCGGACTGGATCGAGTTCGGATTTTATCTCAAAAAATCAGATAGGGTTTGGGTCGGGTGGAGGTCATATATTTTTCAGGTCGAGTCGAGTCAGGTGAAAAATGTAAAATTACTAACCCAACCCATGCCCATCCCTATATATGTTATATAAAATATTTTTCATTCATAATATAATTACATTTAATATAAGCTGATTTTTTTAATAAATAAGTACTAACCGAATTATATTTATACTTTTTCCTTTTCTATTTTGATTTTTTTAAAAGAAAAAAAAAAGCAAGAACAATATGACAACTACACCAGATGTGGGAGTAACTTTGGGTTCAATTTTTTTTTCAATCCAAATATTTTTAATTTTTAAATTAAAAATAAGTTTTGGTTTTTATTTTTTATTTAAATATTTTGTTTATGTCAGTTTAAAATTTAATAAACTAAACTTGACTTAAATATTTTAAAAATTATTAAAATTTAAATATATAATTTAATAGATAGACAATAACTTTTATTGTTATTCTTAATCGCACTGGTCTGAACTTTTATCACGAGTGCAGGGGAAAGATGTTTGATCTGTCCCAACACTCAACAGTCAACAGCCTCGCTTTTAGTAAGTATTTGAGCCTTAGGACCGAAGAGCCTACACAGGCTACACTGTGTTTGGTTGAAAGTCGACCCAACCTTATCTTGAACCAAAAGTCTTGGTGGCGGCTGCAATATTTCACTTTGGAAGGTGGCAGTGGAGCCTTTTTGACAAATGAGACGCAACTTGCCACAATTTGACGCTCGATTCCCACCATTGCTTTGTGTTTCAAGCAGTTGACAAAGGCGGTTTTTGTTCTCCTTGCGGCCGTGTGGAAGGTAAACCAGTCTTTGAATGTGGTAAATCAACTTTTAAAACCCAAACACTTTTCAATTTAGTCTATCTCCGTAACCACTATGCACTTCAATAATATTTAGACTATTTTTTTTATCTAAGTGGTACAAGGAACGATTGTTCTCCTTACAAAAAATTTGTTCAAGTAATTATGTTTGCAGGGATTATATATATTTAATAGGTTATGAAAAATTTAAATAAATATTATCTAATAATTATCTGAAACTATTTAAGAAATAGATTAATTTTAATTTATTGGGGCTGAAGTATTTTTTCCAACACAGACATAATCCAAGTAGATTTTAGATAGTATGTGGACCTAATAGGGAAGAGTTACTTTTTCTGATCCTAAAAAAACATAGGCCTGGGAACATTTTAAACCTGAGTGCAAAATAGAAACGGCCCAAACCTAAATAGATTATAGACGAAATAGATGGACCAAATTAGCTCCGCATATAATCATCACATCCAATTTGAAGCTCACGATTAGCAGCCCAACACTAAAGGATTTCTGCCCCCACCACATTTTTTTGGTCGCACACATGATTTTGGTGGATGAGTCTTTTAGTGGGAATTTTTACATACATAAGAACTCGAACCTGAAACATTACTTAAGCAATATCAAGTTACTTACTATTCAAACCAACCCGTTGATTTGGCCCACCACTTATTTAGCAACCGGGAACCACATAATTTTTTTTTCATTCTTGAAAAGGGGATTAGCGTGGGGCCATAGGGTTCATTTGGAACGTGCAAATGTATTTTTATCCATCATATATTTGATTGTCCATCTTGCTCCCCACCAAGACCATGAGCCGGGGATTTCTCTTTTCCCTCCTATGGCTTCCCTCTTAATGCTCTTGGATTTCTATCATCACTTTGCTGAATTTAGTATGTGGTTGTCAATGTTTTTATCAAAGGCCTTTTCATATCATCAACCACATGAATGGGCATTGGTGAATCTCACTTGCCAAAACTAAACTCGCGTTTTCTCTCTCTCTTAAGTTCCAGAAATGCTACACTAAGTGACCTATAGTTCCTCTACTTGCAAGTAAAATTATTTATGGCTTCATTCTTCTATTAAACATAACTCTTTCTTTTAGACTTGTAATTTTGATATATTCATGAGAACTTCCAACTCCATAACTAGTGTTAAAAGGGTATGTATATTATTTTTATTTTTAAACATATCAGGTAATTATTACATATTACAATCTCTTAACCCTATTTATAAAATTTATTTTTTAAAAAAATAAAAGAAAACTCAAGTTCACATAAATTTTGGTTACAAGTAAAGTAAACAGATATGAATCATGTGATTATGGAATCAAAACTTTTCCCCTTTTGAGGGAAAAATAGTAAAAAAAGTCAAAAACAACAGTAACAAAATGCTTAATCAGAACAGTATTCGATTCCCCGGACCATACAATGAAATGAAATAAAAAGCTTCATGATCATCAGATTCCCCTCAAAGACAAATTATATATGCTTGTTCGAGTTAATGCAATCATCGCAAGATTCATCATAATCCATACAAAGATTATATTTCAAA